CAAGAGACAATCCAGCAAATACTGAATATAGTGAATTCAGCCTTTAACAGCAGATGGTTTCTTCCTGCAGTCCCTGAACAACTTTATTTGAAAAGTATTTGCCAATACAGCACACTGTAATAAAATAGGGAAGGTTTAAAGTTATGAAAGTTTGAATCACATCCAGCCTTTGTGAAAACACAATTACTGGCCTCTGTGGTGTTATGTGTGAGAGACAGATGAATGGACAGATTATGTCCTTTTTTTAAGTATAATTATTCTGAACTGGAAATGTATTTCTTAATAATTTTGTTTTGAATTACGGTACAGTAACGGTGCAGGTTAATGGAGGATATTTGCCCAGAGAAAGTAGCCTACTGTGCTTTGACTGCTTCACGGCCTTAATGGTGGCTTGTAATTGCTCCATCACCCATACTAATGTGCACTCTATGCCCCTTTCAAAACAAAAACATTGCATTTCCTTTATTTCTCATTGTGGGCCTGATTGTCACTGTCTGAGCATCGCAGCCAATAGAGTGAGGTCTCTCAGATCCAGGGAACAGCAAGAACAATGTCATATTCATAAGCAGAGACATCAGCTCTCCTCCTCATTACCACAGCACAGTCATGAATGGAAGCTTCTGTCCCCACAATCATGAAAGGACCTGTCATCTGTCTGTTTCTCCTAATTGACTGTTTACTACATTTCAACAGAGACAGACATATTTTCCATCGTCCTCAGTTTGTCATTCAATTTGACACCACAGTGCAAATCCCTTGCATAGAAATGTCCCCAGTTTCTAGTTACTGCATGAGTCATAGTGATAGAATGTCTTTAGAGCCACTTATGTGACCTTGACATTACAACCTCATACAGTATTTACTTGAAGTTCCAACTGTTACGCATGTGTTCAAAAACCCTTGTTCCCAGCACCCAAGGTTATGTTTTTAAGTAAGAGATCGTGTTCTTTCAGAAACTCCACAAAACCAAGGATAGGAAAAGATGACTTCTTTATCTTCTAACATGCACCTCCATAACCAACTTCATTCTGTAGCTGACTTTCTCCAAACTCTGACTTGGAAGGACCAATACTAAAGTGAATTTTAAAGATCCTATTCAAAAAAGCAATCTCAAAAGGGAGCACGAAGATCGATCACCGACGCACATTCACACACTTGCCATGCTTGGACAAGGTGGTTAAAAACATTCCATTTACAGAGGGGAACTTCACTTCACACACACAGCAGCAACATTCAAAGCAGCTACAGCAGAGAAACACAGCCTGGAGGTGGGATGTCTTTTCTGAATGATAACAGCTGAGCCCACAAGACATACTTTGTTACCGGTGGCTAAATTCCTTACATGCATTTGCTGCCAATTCTCAGCCAGACCCTCCCTTTCTAACAGGAAGATTAGCTGCCACTGCATAAAGTAGTGCCATGCATTATCTAGCAATTAGAGTGAGGCTTATTAAGCAGAGTTTAATGTAAATTTAATGAGCAATAAATTCAATTTCTTTAAATAGAAGAGTTTATTATTGTTACAAATGATGTACTGTGGTGATCTCGAACGTACCGGCGATGAACTACTTCACAAGCGGGCACATATCAATGGGCCATTAAGTGCGGTATTAAATTCATCCTGAAACATGGTACTATACTGTAAGTGCTATTTCATACCGTTTGTGACGAGAAGGCGACCTCAGTTGGCTACAGAGATAGCACTGATGTATGGCGGTTATATTGTATTCATAACAAGTAGAAGATTAAATTAGTGAAAATAGCAAACATTCTTAGGATTCAGCTTCACAATAATGAAGTTCTGCTGCTTTTCATCTTAACAAGTAACTGGAAGGCATAACCTCAGCTTTAAAAAGCTTTTTATAATGTTTGAATTATTATAGATCGAAGGATAAATTAAATAATTGAGGAAGTAATTGACAGATAAATCTATAATGAAGATGATTTAGTTATGGTCCTAGTTAGAGGTGTCTATTAACTAAAGTACTTACTCCAGTGCTATACTTAAGTGCAATTTGAATGTATTTGCAATTTAATATTTCTGTTTTGTGTTACTTTAATTCTTCTTTACTTCATTCAAGGCAAATACAGAATGTTTATTTGATATCTGCAGTCACTTTACAGAACATCTTTAGACCCAAACCCATTCCCTGGCTATTGAAGAAAATGTATTTTAAACCTATTGTGTGAAAAAGGAGAATTTAGCCAACACAAATAGGGTGAATGTTTCTGCGTAAATAGTATTCTGATACCCTAAGTATATTTTTGATGTTTTATAGTTAGATATTATTATAAAGCTAAATGTTGAATGAAGGGCTGAAGTGTACTAATGGTTGGGTAGGACACATTCTTGGTAGAGGGTTTTTTTCTGGATATGTATTGTATACATTTAGATGCAAAACCTTACAAATACTCCAAGGCACTCTCTTTAAAGAAACTGACACATCAGAATTATTTTACGTCTAACATAAATATTCCATAAAAGCATTCACTACTTGTGTAAAAAGAGACCACCTTGGAGTTTTCTATTCTATTATATTTGTGCTGTACTGAAGTATTTTTACTATTACTTAAATTCAGGATCTGAATACTTCTACTGGCTCTAGATAACCCTTGAAAATGCAAACAGGTATGGATGTACTCTCTGTAAGCCGCAATACGTACCACTGAAAGAGAAGAAGAAAACACATAAGGAGATCAACACTTGTTTGGTAACTGAAAAACAAAAAAAACTAGCAAACCACCAGCACACACACACTGTAAGCAAACACAGATTGAGGGCAGAGCAGCATACTGCTAGCAGATTTTCAGCAGATCTGTTTCAAAGCCAAACCCCGCCATAAGCAGCAAGAGACGGACATCTTCAATTACTCACCCTGTCACGTGCCAACTGGCAACCAAGAGTACTGTAACAACTGTATGTTTCCTTTTGTTTTTCTGTGATCCCGTCTCTCAGCGGTGCCTTGAGGCTTTATGACAGCTCGTATTGATCCACTTCACCATCACTCAGCCCTGACGAATGACTTTAAACTGGCAATAAATGGGATTATGCAACCTTCTGAAATTCAACCATCTGATATGCTACAACAGGCCCAGGAGTCGCAGGGGAAGAAATACTGGTAAAATGGTTTCTTGTTATAGCATTTCCTAACCAGATGCTCACCAGTGGCATGTTTTTAGATTTGCCAGTCGCACTGTACTGGGAACAACTTCCTGTTATGGTGCCCTAGCCTCTCTTTAATCAGCACTCTTTCCATGGTTTCTTTCTAACAAACTGAACACCTATTGTGACAAGCAGCATCCAGTTAGCGGGCATGTTCTCCTCTCACCACATATCAGGACAAAGTTCAAATCCACTCATTCTGGATTATTAACAAAGGAAAATTGGAAGCTGTCAAAAAAGCAGACTGTCAGCACTTCACAAAGCAAAAGCTTGGGCGGTATTTTTGCTCCCAGCAGCTGGCACAAAGACAATCAAACAAATGAAAAACCTGAGGTCAGATCAGACTTTCTCTGGCTCGGGATTTTACCTGAACCATGAGACCGTGCTATCATTTTCCTGTTGCTGCAACCTTCGGAGTATTGAGCTCGAGGTTATTGCTCATTCATGATGCATTATTTTATTTGACTGAGAGGTTAATTAACTTAATGTGACAAGGAGAAGATACACAGTGCTATAAATGACATTCAACTGCTATTCAACACTGGCCGTAATAAATTCAACAACTGTGAAATGTAAGCCTTGTAAGCAGTGAGGGAGGGGGAAAATCCCACTGTTAAAGACATTTCCTTTAGTAACCTCAATTTAGGAGCAGGTTGCCAATCTCTCTCTCTCTCTCTCTCCCTCTCAGTCTCTCTCACGCATACACACACAAACAACACAGGCTTTTATGAGTTTCTGCAAACCTGTTGATGGGTGATGCAGATACGAATGTATGTAACCACTAATGGCAATTTCAGACACATTAAGGGAATCGATAAGAAGTCTCTCAAGTGGACTTCAAGTGTAAATCTCGCAACTGTTGCTTGCCATTTTAAGAACCCGCGGATTGACAACACAACATGTCCATTCTACCTCTGGGAGGGATATAAGGCGACTGTAGGCTGACATTTTAACCGCTTCTCAAGCAGTCAGTATTGTCAGCAGATAGGTTTTCCAGGAAAAAAAACTCTGACGCATGCATCTCTGATGCAACCACGGTGGGAAAACGGGGGAAATGATCGGACTGTGGGACTACACTAGTTGCCCACATTTAGGAGTCACTGTTCATGCGGTTGTACGCTGTAAAAAATAAGAATGTAAATAAAAAAGCCCTTACAGCGACATAGTATATTTACATTTGTAGCCTCCCTGCCAGCAGCAGAAGTAAGGACTGCGGGAACACAGGCTGGCATCAGGATGCAGTTGTGCGGCCAGAGGACACTGTACGAGACCAGAGCTGCAATGCGTGTTTTTCTTCCAAAGCGCACCTGAAGCACACACTTGAGAGATTTGTATAGGTTGAGTTGAGACTATGGAGGATGATGCGGTATGACTTAAGATACAAGTGCGTTTGAGTCATGTTTTTTGCCTGAGAATCGCTCTCATTCCACAATAAAAGAGCCACGATTCACTGTGCGTTGCCTCCAACTTGCCCTACAGGACTTAATACTGTACACGCATTTCACCCGATTATCATACTTTGTCTCCGTCTAGTAATTGTGCAGCACTATAGTACTTTTTACAGCACTCCTCTGTAGTAGCCTATTGCAGTACAACTCAGGACAACACCCTGTACAATTAGCGCTCAAATTACGAGATAAGTAGCCCAACACAGCGTGGATATGTTGGAGTCCACGGCGGAATCAAAATGATATAAAGTGATGCTGAGATTTCAGAGGAAGCTTGTGCGCATCTTGCGCGCAAACGCACCACAACTTCTCCCCGGTACTCCTATGTCTTTAGCTGTGTAAAGCGGGGGATTCTGCATCACAGACACACAAAACACCTCAAAACTTACCTTTTGAAAGAAACGCCACTGAAATCACGAAAACAAAGAGAGGAATAGGGAGAGATCCGCTTCCCGTGATCGCCATGTTGGACACCTGCTTGAGACTGGCGGCGCTAAATCACCTAGAGACGGCCATGGGATGGAAATGTAGACACGAGAGGCGGAGGGAGGGCTCAAGCAGGGAGCCTGCTCTCATATTGGGCTGCATTATGTTGCAATGACATCTAAGCCTATACAATAATATAGGAATATTACAGTCATATCTTAAATAAAATATGAAAACTCAGCGTATAGATTACTGCTCTAATTCCCAATAGGAAAATGGAAGGGATATTAAAGTAATACCATGGGAAGTGTGAAATACAATGGAGTGTGGTGAGGTAACTATAAACTCACCACCGAGAAGCACAGACTCTTTATTGGAATATTATAGTAATTTTCTTTTACGGTTATAGTCTGTTATTTCACGTGGGTGAGTAAGAGCAACCTACTCATCTGGCTGCGCCTAGGTTTTATAGCTGAAGCACAAATGAGAAAAAAGGAGAACAGCATTTAGTTTATGTTTTTTATACAGTACAGTAGACAGCTCAATAGCAGTGTACGCTGCTGTTTGTTTAACAAAGTGTCTTCTACTCTGCTTGAGGACACTTTGAGGATGCAGATTTGACACACACATTTGTGCGACATTTTTATTATCATTTAAAACCAACTTTAAAATGTTGAGTTAAAAATGTATTCATTCCTTTATCATATTTTTCTTTAATGCATTTGCTTTTCCTCATGAATTCAGCAATGAATTAAAGCATTTCCTTTATTATTTGAAGGCAAAACATGCTTATAACAATCTCCATGGCCACAACTTTAAAACTTTGACAATGTATCCTCTTTTGTATGTTTGTTATGTTCAAAGAACAACCTTATTTTAATATTTGTAATAAACAAATCTATACCATGGATGAAATAACACTTTCGAGAGGAATCCACAGCCGAGTTTCTGCCCAGTTTCATTTTTTTGGAAGGGAAGATTTGTGTGTATGTTATTGTGATGGCCACAGCCACAGGGTGAAACAATTACACTTCACCATCAGTAGTTCTGCTTCAGTTCAGATGCAGTCAATCATGCCAATTATTAACACCAGACATTTGATTTAGGTAAACTCTTTACCATCTGACATTTCTTAGTTAATTTTCAAACATTTTAGCACAGCTAAGTGTTTGTTTGTATTGATTACTTTTCTTTGTCTTTGAGTTACCGTGGCCGTTGGGGGAGGTTATTTCCTAGTTCAGCAAAAGGCGTGGCTGAGCGCTGAGCACTCATAAATACTGCAAGCAGCCAATTGGAACAAATTGGGACAAACCATCTGCTTCCATGTCGAAGGGGGGATTTGGGTTTTGTCAGTGTTCTTTTTGTATTCTGTTAATCTTAATTACCCCCTAGTTTCAATTTGGTTGGGCCAAGCCACTATCAGGGGCGGATCTACCGGGGTGGCATGGGGTGGCAACTGCCACCCTAAACAATAGCCTTGCCACCCCAGCTGCCACCCCAGTTGGCATCTTTGTTTTGAAAGAAAAGTTGTGGCTCATCGGACATTTATGAGAGAAAATCTCTAATGTCCGAGTGCAAGTGAATGCAGCACAAGACGCGAGTCTTGTAACCCCTCCCCCGTCCCTGGCGCGAGAGTGGAAATATGATTGGTGGCGAATTCACTTGAACGGGGGACGGCGCAAAACGAGAAGCCTTTCGGACTCAAGTAGACGGAAGGAATGAGGTAGTTGCGGTCTACAATGACAGAGAAGAGACTGTGAAGTTTGGCTGCACTCAGCATTGAATCAAAACGCACTAAAGCTTTAGATCTTAATAAGTTTGTGAGGCGTTTTGCTGAACAACATGGTAATCGCCGCATTCAGCTGTAATAGGCATGCCAACTTCATGCTCTGCTCACGGATGACTCGATGAGCATAAAAAACTGTTAAGATGATGACATTGTATGCGTGTATATATTTTTTTATTTGTGGAGGTCTGCCCCCAAAAAACTGTTTTAAGTCCTGAGAAAGTAAAATAAGACGGTGTGTAAAACTACACTGCCCAGACAAAAAAAAGTAACCACTTTGATTTAACTAGGCCAGTAGGTAAGAACTTTCCACTGGACAATAACTTACTGCAGCGATGTATATGTTTTAGCTGAATACACGTTTTTTTAACCCCAACTGATGCAGTTAGTCACTTCTTTAATATTTGTTCTTTCTGATGCAAAGTCAAGGTTGTAACTGTATATCAATAATGATATAATTACTTGTTTTTTCAAATTTGAAGGAGGGTGAGCAAGCATCTTGATGAACATTCATCATTAACTCCTCCAAAAAATATAGTTTATTCAATAATAAGTGAATATGTGAATCATAACAGTTCTTCACTATATCTGTAAAGCGTCTTTGAGCACCTGTAAAAGCGCTAACAAATTAAATCTATTATTATTATTATTATTATTATTTATTAACAGTGATTGACAGCTGATAGGAATAATATGATTGTTAATAGTATCATATTCATTCAGACAAACATCGATGAGACAGTTAATTAATATACTTATTGCAGCAGTCTTCATAGATTTGGTACCCCTGCTGGTCTAAGAGTGAAACCAACTCATTCAGTTAAAATTCATTAAATTACGTCTGCCACCTTATATATGCATATGTAAGGCTTTACTGATGTGCCACAATAATATCACCTATGTCATTGAGTTAAAATATTAATATTGTGCCTTTCCAAGTTAATATTGATTGTAGGGGTGTAACGGTTCACAAACATTTCGGTTCGGTACGTACCTCGGTTTTTAGGTCACGGTTCGGTTCGGTACGTTTTCGGTACAGCAGAAAAAATTATCACAAAACATTAAATATATATTTGTTAATTATTATTAAACTGTGAATAATGTATTCAAATAAATACAAAATATAATAAAATAAACATTAAGGTGCAGCATTTCGATGAACTGAAATAATCTGTATTTGAACTGTACTAGTACCTAAGCAGCCAGTTTGACATTAGGACTTGCTTGTCATTGTATTTTCATGTTTTTTTAAAGAGAAATGAACTTGTCCACATTGCTTGCCGAAAGGGCAGATCTGCTGGCACTAATAATGTCTCCTGCTGTGGAGAACACCCTCGCTAGGGACAGAGGTAGCAGATACAGCCAGGTAGCGCTTTGCTAACATGGCAACATAAGGATATTTGGCGTTTGTAATAGCTTTGGCTCGGTCTGAACTTTTTGCGAGTGGTGGAGGCTTAAATGCTAGTGGGAGTTGGGTTTGCACTTCAGTCTTTTTTCTTTTGGTACCGGTGATATTCACGTTCGGGTGATGCCTTTTCATATGAGTGCAAGTTTGATGTATTGCCAGCCGCGTAACCAATGTTAGTTGAACAATGCCGACAAACAGCTTTGGTTCGGTCCACCTGTCTTTGTCCGTCATCCTTGTACGTAACTGCGAAACCAAAATGTTCCCAAACCGGAGACTTCAATGATGCTGGAGGATTTTCGAGCTCAACTTTATCTGCGTTCGCCATTTCGACAGTTCCTCAAATTACTGACTACATTTGAACGCATCCCTGTGACCAGCTCTCATAGTATGCCTCTCGTCCAATGAAATGACTTGGTCGCTCTATGATATATACCTGAGATTACTTCCAGAAAGTTGTTCATGTTGTCAATTTTTTACGTTTAACGCTATATTCGTTCGGTACACACGTGTACCAAACCGAAGGGCCCGTACCGAATAATTTCAGTACGGGTACGTGTACCGTTACACCCCTAATTGATTGATATGATTGCGATTTAAATCAGCATATACTTCTGCCAGGGGATGCCACCCCTCAAAATCTCCTGCCACCCTCTTGCCACCCCATGAATATTTGTCTAGATCCGCCCCTGGCCACTATATATATTCCTTGGTTGGTCATTTTAGGAGGTATTTGGGAACAAAAGGAGAGGGAGTAAGAGCTACCAGAAAGGCACTGTTTAAATTCTTGAGTGAAACTGTGGCAGGAAAGAACATAGATTTGTTTTTTGTTTTATTTATTTCATGGTTTGATTGATTGATTGATTTTAATTTTATTTTGATTAGAGCATAAGTTAAAGAGTTGGAATTATGTGATGATTCATACTCATGTACAGTAGGTGGCGGTATGCACCTTTTAGTAGTGATGGCGAGATGAAGCCTTATGAAGCTTTGAAGCTTTCCAGCCAATTGGTTCGCAAAAGGGTTCATCTCATGAGGCTTCATCATGGGCTTCATTTGAACACAAACCCCCCTGTTGGTCAAAGTGTGTAAAACAGGCAGGTTGGACATCTCAACAGTGTGCTCATACCATCTCATACCGAGTTCCCATTGAGTAAAGCCTTAGAATACCTCTAAACAACGAACATAAAATCATATTTTCATGTTAACAATATTGTATTTATTCCAGTTGAATGATTGTGATTGAAAAGCCTAAGGAGGCTGGTAAACATTGCAAAGAGGGATTTGTATTCCTTGATAATATTCATAAACTTAACCATGTTGTAGCCTGAGAAAGGCTAAACCATATCAAAGAATACATTTATTAACTACATTATCTCATTTAGCTGTAGCTTTTATAAACAACAAAAAAGACGTATAGTTCAGTCGTTGAACCAGGGACCCTGCGGTCATGAGTCAACTGCTTTCCAGCTGAGCCACAGCACACACACTAAAGCTCCCTGAAAACACTGCAAGATATGTATTCCTGTATTTATTGATGTTTTTATTCCTACATTTATTTATGCTTGTATCTATTTATTATGACGTGTTCTGACCTCTATAAGTGAGGGTCTGAGCTCTCTTGATTCCATCGTGTCACCGGGCCCGCCGGGTACAGGAGGGGTAATATGGTTCTTGTTATACATCCATGGGTATTATGAGCGTTGTGGTTCAACGGTTCAACCGATCTGAATCGCTTCCTGAAGCAGTCACATGGTATCGACAGGCAGCGAGGCTTCGTTTGTCATCGATGACGTCACTGGCCCAAAACGATACAAGCCTCGATACATGCTTCACAAAAAGCTTCGGGGATTACTCGACACACGCTCCGAAGCCTCGGCGCAATACGTAACATCACTAGTTTTA